CATGGCAATTCTCTAATGCAGTAGATGACAAGTCAATTGGAGCTTCAGTAAATGTGAAATAACTATGAACCCCATTCAATACAACCTTAATTGATGGGAATACAGTCATTATGACATGACTGTTTTATAGTGATTGTAAACCATCTTTATTCAACCCAAAAAGAATTAAATCAAAACTTGTTATGAGTACCAATTCCTTATATTTCATGTTGAGGTTTCCCTTTGAGTTTTGTTTGTTCACAACTTGATTGACAAGAGCTGAAATGTTTTCCACTTCTTTTTGGATGTTTCCCTTCTGATATCAGGCTTATGTACAATTACTGTTTTGCCTACAAACTGCCATGATTGTTCTGTGTAAAGTAGATAGCATATTTCATGCTGGAAGTCTGACAAATGCAAGAGCTCCTGCTACCATGACTGATATGATCAGACCTCGTGATAGTCTTGCCAAGATCAATGTGAAGACAGAATTAGCCTCTTAGCTAATTGTAGCATCTATTTTTATATGAAATTACAAATGAAGTACAATGTTTTTACAAGTGAACACATATAGAACAATGGATAAAAGTATTGAATTACACTGTATAAACTATACTGAATTAACAGATGTGTAAAAGTATATTGAATTAATACAAAAATATTATTTATCCATAATTGATATTCCCTTCCCACCTACCTACAAAAAGTTCTACAAAAAGTGAAGAAGCATTTAAAACAAAATCACTAAACATTTCACCTGCAGCTGGTAATGCTTTCTATCATCTGGGTTAGAAATTGTTCTGTAACTGACCACTGAGGATTATAATTATGGCTTGAAACTGAAGAAGGAAGCAAAATATATTTGAAAAGTTATTTATAAACCACAATCCTGCTGGCTTGGCTTTAAAAATAGAATCGCCCAATTCCTCCCCCCACCTTCTCCTGTCTAGACAACTGTGTAATAACTCAATTTATGAAGGTCTCTCTGGTGTGTCATTAGGTACAATTGTGAGTTAACTTTAGTTTACTTGTCAGTGTAATTCAAGGTCACTGGCTGTTCTTGACAGCATTGTTAGCATACCAGCTGATAAGATTGTTCCTAGATACTCAGGTAACAACATAGCCCAAAGATGGAGGAAAAGATGGTTTCTTCTAAATGGGTTGCAGTTAATCCCCCAAAAACTGCAGCTGCATATTTAAATCACTGTTTGGATGACAGTCCCCATATGAGAGTCCTATGTTCAGAGAATGGCCATGAATTTGAAGTTAACTAAACATTATTTTCAAGACTGTTAGTGTGTTTTCTTATTATTTAATTTCAAAATAAGTACAAGGTGGTAAAGGAGGATTTTAAAATCTTGCTGTAATATCCTGGATCAAAGACACTGAACTTGAGCCAGCCACACACTTACTTCTGAAATGCCCTAATCATCCTTGGAGAATGGAGTTAATTAATCTAATCACAAATTGTCTGGACATGTCCCAACAGGTAACACTGTATTCTTATTAATTTGATCAGGACCACAAGTCTCTAGAAAGGTGTTCAAACTCACTGCAGTGGCAGTCAGAAGTACTTGGATCTGAACATAGTCTGGAGTTGCTAGTTTCAGCTGTGAATCTGGGTCTCTGTGCTGGATTTTTTGTATTTTAACTTTGTTTTCCTTTTGGTCTATGACTGTATTTTCTTTAATAAATAAATAAACAAACCTTGCTCTGTTATGGTCTCCATCCTAACTGGAGTCCTCACATCTGCAACTTACTTTGCTGAAAGCAATCCATTGGGTGAGCAGGACAAAAAAGAAGATAATACATTTGCAGGACATTTGCAGGGGCTCAGTCACACAAATATATCCAGAAAAATCCATCTAAAACCACTGTGGATAATACAGGGACATATAAAAAAGGAAGAGGCAAGTTTAACTGGGAAGAATTGCTTTGAATAAATTATTTCTCAGTGACTGTTTTAAAGATAAGCATCCATTATAATTTGCTTTCTGCCAAACTGGAAAATGTTTCCTGAAATAACAATTTCCAATAAATTTAAAAAATTAAAAGCAAAAGAAAAAATATATATACAGCATTTAGCTTAATGTTGATATCAATTGCTAAAACTTGACACACAACGCAATATTCATCAGTCTTTCCACTGTCATTCCCAAACAGAAAGTCAGTACGTATCCAGAACAACTCTTCCTAATGTTGAATAATTGTCTTTTTTAAAGACCCCGATGCACAGTAAATTGATAATTCAACATATAATGATAGTATTGACATTTTGGATATACAGTTCAATGTCATATTCACATCCTTAAAGAACAATGATGTTTGTAAACCAATATTTATTAATAATTGAAATATTAATTGAACAAGTCCATATTCTATGGCTAGTATTTTCTCATCCATATTGCACTTCCCACATAGTGATTCTGCTAACCAGCCCCTTTGAACCTTCTCTGTGGAATCCAATAAACATGGAGAAGAAGACACTTTATAATGGAAGTGAAATTCTGAAAATGAATTCTGGAATATATAATCAATAATCCTGCTAAAGAACTAGTCTTTCTCAAATCTACATGGACATGCCCCTATTGTTTTCTTGGTAACATTTTGGAAGTAGTTAGCTGTTCATAATTTCTGGGATTTTTTTTTAATGTCTCAGACTAGCCTATATCTGTTAAGATTTCCTGGCGTTTTTCCATCCATATACCAACCAGGTTCAGTCCTACTTAACTTTTTCAAGATCAGCAAGCCTGATTAGGTGCTGTTACCTGCTATGGCTAAATTATTGGCCCAGCATAATGCCTAAGACAGAGTTAGATTTAATGAGTTATCTCTAGAATAAAGTATTTCCTTAATTACTTTTTAATATTTATTAGGCTAGATAAAAATGGATGATTTTTGGAAAAAAATTAAACTTGCTTATCCCTTTGTTTTTATAACCACTTTTTAAAAAATCCAACATAAAATAATTTAAGAGATCTTTTGTTTTGAAAAAAAAAATTCAATTGTTTAGCCTTTACCTGTAGAAAATTCTAAATATGGAGGGCTAAACCTGACAGATCAGTGCATCCGTATGTTTTCTTTTGAACCTGAATGCTCAGTTTGCATACAGTGCAGGAAGCTGAGAAGTTGTCTGCCCAAGAAGAGGCAAGCTTGGGAGGGGAATGAATGAATCATGGCCTTTCCTGAATTCTTGGACTGCATAGTAGAGCTCAGAATTTTTTTCTGAGTGCATTGGGAGAAACGGCATTCAACTATTGCAATTCTCCAGTTTGTTCATTGCCATCTGGCTTTTTTAAAAAGTGGGCAGAGATACAGATTCATAGGCCTGGATAGATTATTGCAGATTACAGTATGAAAGCTGAGGCATTTTGTAGCTTTTAAAAAAAAAAGATGAGCACAGCCACTAATAATTATATCTTTTCAAACTTGGCTATATTCCAAGCAGACACAGAACTAGACAAGTCTTATTTTGGGTCAGTTGAAATAAAATATACTAGCATTTCTAACACCAAGTTTCTAACTGCTGTAAATAAAAAATGGATTTAAAAGCAGCCGCATTTTCAAAAATTGAGGTTTATTTTTACGTGCACATACAGCATATGTTTGAATATACAGCAAGAAGCATGATCTTGTTGAACATTTTCTGTTGTTCTAGATCAGGGGTCCTCAAACTTTTTAAACAGGGGGCCAGTTCACGGTCCCTCAGAATATTGGGGGGCTGGACTATAGTTTGAGGAGAGGAGAGCCACCGGACCCAGCATACCTGTCATGTAGAATAGTCCGGCTCTGGATCTCCTTCCTCGTGCATCACCTGGAGCTCCCAACATAGCCCCGACACTTCCGCTTCTGACAGACAGCAACGGCGGCCAGTCAGGTGGGTGGGCCGGATAAATGACCCTGGCGGGCTGGATACGGCCCACAGGCCGTACTTTGAGAACCCCTGTTCTAGATAAATTCTACCATTCATCCTCTGATTTCACTGTTCTTCAGGTGTGGAAACTTTTAAAATAAACAAAAACCCCTGAAACACAAATTTAGTAATAATGAGAATGGTAGCAGAAACTGTAATACAGTAGAGAGCTCCATATGAGTAAGAAGCTTCCTTACTAGGCATGGAAAGAAAAGAGCTCTGCGTGCTTACTGAGCTTCATATACTGGGGGAAACAGTGGAAGTTTTGAGGTATGTCCACTATTTAAATTGGCCATTCCTTAAATAGAGAAGCTCTTTCCTTAGAGGCACCGAAATAAAATACAGGAGACAAGGATAGGGAAGTAATTCCTATTTGCTCCTCTTTTGCAGCCTCCGTCATCATTTCTCATGTGGCTCTGAAGTGGTCCCCTAATCCTTCAGGGCAGAAGGCACAGGAGAATCATGGGGGAAGAAATAATTGAAAATATAGGTTCCTGACCCCCTTTTTCCAAAGTGGAATTTTGCTGAACAGGAGCCTGGATCCAAGTTTTTGTTTATAAATATAGTACTTTTTTTTGTCTTAGGACAGAAATGGGGAACCTCTAGCACATGAGTCCTTCTCATTCTCTCCACAGGGATTCCTGCTTTGCCTGAAATTTGCTTTCTATGCAAAGAGAAATGGATAGCTCTGGACCCAGGCTGTGAGCTATAATTCTGCCCGTACAATAAAGTATGCAACTTCCTATGAGGATGATGAACAAATATGTATCTTGTAGTGGTTTACAATAAATACAAAACAAATACTAATAAATGTGATCAAGAGATTTAAAGAATCACTTGAATGCATTGGGAGAAATCAACCAACAAGCCAGGAAAATAACTGGTATTCATGTATGGCTATCAGACCATTGTTGACTGTAAATGTCTAACTTGTTTGTGGTGGATGTGGCTATGTTGACATTCCTTCTACCCTTTAAATTATTATTAAATTGTATTGTAGTACATGTGTACTGGATATGTTGTATTACAGACTATAGATCTGATATACAATGAAACAGAAAATAGAGTGTATTCATATGTGGTTTCCTTTTATTGTGTACTTTTTCAGAGTGCAAATTTACCTGCACCAGTGGCAAATGCTTGTATCATGCCTCACTGCTTTGTAATGAACAGAATGATTGTGGGGATAATAGCGATGAAGAAAACTGCTTACTTGTAACTGAACATCCACCTCCAAGCATCTTCAGCTGTGAGTACTTGCCAATATGCCAGTTATACAATTTGCTGTGAATTTTGTTATATTTTGTTATTGTTGGTGTTGTCAGGGGATACTAGAATGGAAGTAGAAACTTGTCACTGTATGTAACTATCACTACAACATAGAATAAAAAATATAGTCATAGTTATAACTTGTCATTTTCTTTCTTCTCAGTTACTATGCTTTATCAGTACAGTACATTTTCAGCAAAAAAGTAGGCACTGTGAATTTTGTTGTTCACAACACTAATTTCTCAGCATCACTTATACAACTCTATACAGTATGCTAAGGTGCTCATGACTGGGAAAACCAGAAGATGCCAACAGTTTGTCCGTGACGGAGGATTCAGGGTCATCTAGGTTGACTGGGAGTATCCATATGGGAAGTTGCTAAATATTAGCAGCCATTGACAGGGACTGAGTAAAATTAGACTGGCCTTCATATTGTATGCCATGAGATTTGTGTAGATTTTGACTTTTTAAAACAGAAAGCAGTCTGTCTCAGACCTAAATACACTTAGGGTCTTTTGTGATCTGTCCAGTTTTATTTTTGCTGAAAATCTAAGTGCTTATAGGATGGAATATGATATCTAAAACATGATGTATATTTTAATACTCTTTCAGTACAATTCAAAGTGAGAGTTAAAAATTATTTTGATAAAATCCCAAATCATATTTTCATATCAGGTTTTAAATGCAGAGAAATACAGATTCTAATACTGTATATGTTCCATGAAAATATGGCCTTTCTGATAGTATCAAAGTAAGGCTTTCCTTCATGTTATTCAGAAAGATTATTTAAGATAGTGATTTCCTTTTTATTTTTAATTATGTTTTAAATAATCAAGATAAATATTTTATAAGGCATTTAATAACTCATGCAAACAAATTAGAGACAACATAATCTTTACTTGAATAACCCTGTTGAGTTCAGTAGCTGAGTTGAAGAGAAATCCTGTGTTTTTGTACAAGGATTTTGGGAAGGTTGTTCAGAATGACATACCATATATACTCCCAGATAAGCCAAGAATTTTACGTGCCAAAATACACCCCAAAAATTGTGTTTGGCTTATCTGCAGATGGGCTTATCTGGGAGCATATATGGCAATACAATACTTTTTTGAAGTACCTGCATATCCTGTATATACTCGCGTATAAACCCATCCATGGACAAGCCAACCTTTGAATTTTTAACCAAAATACCATGAAAAATGTGCCATCCATGGATAAACCAATTATGAAAATTAAAACATGAAGATTTCAAGGGTTGGCTAATCTGTGGGTGGCACATTTTTCATGGTATTTTGGTTAAAATGTCAAGGGTTGGATTTATCCAGGGATGGGCCTATACAGGAGTATACAGTGGTACCTCGGTTCACGAACTTAATTTGTTCCGCGACTCTGGTCGCGACCTGAATTAGTCGCAACCCAAATCAAATTTTCCCATAAGGTTCAATGTAAATATGGTTAATCCGTTCTGACCCCTACAAATTTGGTCGCCAACAGATTTTGGTTGCGACCCGAATAAAATTTTCCCATAAGGTTCAATGTAAATATGGTTAATCCGTTCTGACCCCTACAAATTTGGTCGCCAACAGATTTTGGTTGCGACCCGAATAAAATTTTCCCATAAGGTTCAATGTAAATATGGTTAATCCGTTCTGACCCCTACAAATTTGGTCGCCAACAGATTTTGGTTGCGACCCGAATAAAATTTTCCCATAAGGTTCAATGTAATTACAGTTAATCCGTTCTGAACCATATGTATTTTTTTTAAAAAATCACAAAAATATGACACAAAGTACAGTAGATTTTGGTTGCGACCCGAATAAAATTTTCCCATAAGGTTCAATGTAATTACAGTTAATCCGTTCTGAACCATATGTATTTTTTTTAAAAAATCACAAAAATATGACACAAAGTACAGTACGAAGAGAGAGAACGCTAACCTTGCTCGACGCGACTTCTGGCGTGGAGGACAGGAAGGCGGGTGGGGAGGCGGTTATTGCTTGGAGGGAGAGTCCTCCTCCCTACAGGAAGCCACGACCACGGGTCATGGCAGGGAAAATGGCCACGGATCCTGTTTGTCATCTGATCTGGCGTTCGGAAATGGAAGCAAAATTTTGGGAACGGTGCTGTTCGTGACCCGAATTGGTCGTGAACAGAAGCGTTCGTGACCCGAGGTACCACTGTATATGGTATGTTTAAAAATGAATTAATTGGAGCACCTTAACAGACACACGAAGCTCTGATGTCATAGCCATCATATTAACAATCAGTATTTGTTTCTACATTTTGTGACCTACAAATCTTGCCTTTTGTTGTAAATTAAGTGTTCAGCTTTAGTGTGATGAAATTAGCGAGGAGTCTGTATAATTTACCAGAGATGAGAGACCAATTATACCTAATAGATTAGGAGGTAACTTAGAAAGTATATGGTTTCCTTGGAGAAGAAACTTTGAATGCATGGACATAGTGCATGCAAAATTGTATAAGGTGTGATTGAGTTTTTACAAAATGAAAACGGCAAGTTTAGGTATTCGTCAGAATGCCAATATTAGCAAAGGAGTTTTCTGTCCATGGAAACTTGCACTGTGTTCATCTGCTAGCTGAGAGAATTTCCAGTTTATATTCCATTACTGACAAGTGGTTGAACCTATCCCCATATTCTTCTTTAAATAAAGAAGGCTGCCATTGGATTTGACCTTCATGTGACACCTGACTGGAAATGTTCACTGATGTATTTTGTCTATCTTTGTAGTCCCTAGTTTTTTTTTACTCTAGACTTTACAGTTACACTGGAATCCTTTTAACAAACACTTGTAGTTGTCTTATGACTGAAACTGTAGATGTGTCTAAAACATTTAAAGATTTACTATCAGATTTTGCAGGATACCTTCTAAATCTGAAGTGGTTTCAGTTGCCTCTAAGTAAATTGGATATTAACAGTTCTTTTACTTTGTACATTAATTTTGGGTAGGAGCTATTTTTACAGTTTTACACAATAGCATCATGCCCCAAGTGGCTGTACATTCATAGACATGGACTTAGTCCCCATCCATATCCCTTGCTAAGTGAAATTTTATGCATACAACTGAGTGCTGCATGTGTTTCCATTTCCCAACCTTCCTTTGGGACCATACTTATAGAGCTCTTTTTGAAAAGATTTATCTTGCTGATCAGCTGTTGAGCAGGGTGTTCTGCTGCTGCACCTCCTTTCCCACCAAACAGCACATTGTGGATTTTCAGCTTCTTTTCATGCAGGCTTTCTTGGCTTGGAGCCAGATTGGGGAGGATGCTAGATTTTGTGCATTAATAGATTCCAGATGTTTTTAAGCACTCCACATGTTAATAGCATTGGGCCAGGTGCAGAGATAGAACAACTTGGCCAGCAGTTTTAAATTACTAGGGAGGCTAAATACTGCACATTCAGCAGCACAATTAATTAATACATTGTTACAGTTACTTTAATTATAGCATACTGTATTTTTGCATTAGATATATCCTTTGTGAGGAGTAGTTAACAACCAAATATACTGATGACAGAAGTGGTAAGGATTTATCATCATATAGTTCTTACCACATTTGGTGCATTATACTTTAATAGTTGTACAACTTGGCATTTCAAAATAATTGCCATGATCTATCATTAATACCACAGAAAATTAGGGGCAAAGAGATATAGTCAATATTCTTTGCAGCTTGAATACAAGGAAAACAAATACATCAATATAATTTTATAGCTTCTTTTCATAATTGCCCACTGTAGGGGAATATAAATTTACTTTCTATTTTAGGTCAAGCATGCAGATTCTGAGGTGAATGCAGATAACACAGAGGAATAGCTGTACTGAAGAAATGATTGATTCATAGAATTATGAACTCAAAACATTGACTGAGAGTTCTGTCTTACTCAGTTTACCTCTGACTGCATGTTTCCTCTTCCATGCTCTCACAGTCAAAAGTGATAATTCTGCAAGACATCTTTGCACCTTTGTTGTATTGGCATTGTTCACTGTACAGAGTTAATTTGTGTGCTTGAAGTACAGGAATATCATCACTTCCTTGCTGATTTACAGAAGAAATGCTTTGATGAATAAGACTTTTGCTCATATGTCAATAAAATTTGACCATATTATGTGTTGTATGGCTTCATACTAAAATAATCTCTGAGATATTCTGCATCCAATTGAAATAGCTTATACTGACATATTGTGAGACTCAAATGAATAGAAAATTACTTATTTCAACCAAGGATAAATTGGTAAGTGGATAGGTAAATTGTAGTTAAATAGACACACAAATAAATAGGTGGTAGATAACCAGATAATTTTTTTTGCAAGGATTACAAGTTTCAAAGTGAAAGTACAAACATTATTTATTGAAAATGTTAAATAATTTAGAATAGTTTATTAACTTGTTAAACAAATTGGAGAGAGAGAAAAAATCTGGCCCAGGGATTTGTTATACTTAGTAATTTACAAAAAAACATATATTGTTAATAATATTCTTGCAGAAAACATTGGTACTGCTATGCCAACATTATTTTTATTCAGCCTGTGTTTTGTAACATTGCTCCAGGAGATCTTATGTATTTCACGAATATGAAGTCTATAATTGTAACATGATTTCTTGCTCATGTTTCAAGATTCAGAAATGTAGCCAGGATATATACATAGTTAGGAATGAAAATCTCAGATTATAAAATTATGGTTCTATTCAAGTACTTAAATGTTAAAAAGCAATTATAAAACAATCACATTGTTATTATCACTGTGTGTGATATATTTGAAAATTACCATATACCACCCCCTAAATTTTATGAATCCTTTTCAAAATGTCATATGCAGAATTAATAGGGTTTTGTTGAAGTGTTTATGTGTTTATATGTTCACAAATTCAGTGGGTGAAGCAACTTTTAAATGCTCCAGGTAAATTTCCTTATAGCACATTTTAATGGATGTAGAACATGTTTACAATATAGTGAAGAGATTTCTGCACATAACTCAGTTTACCTACATCAGATAGTTGACCTCAGCCCAGCCCTGCCCTGCCCTGCCCTGCCCTGCCC